ACGAGTGAGAAACTCTCATCATAGTCAACACCTTGAACTTTGTCAAAAACCTTTTTCCGACAAGTCTAGCTTTGTAGATAGTAACACTACTATCAGCGTTCGTCTTCCTCTTGAAGATCCATTTAATCTCAATGGCTCGCCGATCATTGGGCAAGTCAATCAAAGTCCATACTTTGTTCTCATACATGGATCTCATCTCAGATTTCATGGCCTCAAGCCATTTCGCGGAATCTGGGCTCATCATCGCTTCCTCATAGTTCGTAGACTCGTCATGGTCAAGTAACATGACCTCTAGAACAGGATTACCGTACCACTCTGGTGCGGATCTCACTCTGGTTAACCTATGAGGTTCGGTAGTAACTTGATCTGAAGTTACATGATCATCATCATTAGCTTCCTCACTAATCGGTGTAGTAGTCACCGGAACAGATTTCTCTGATGAACTACTTTTCAATAAGGGAGCAGGTACAGTTACCTCATCAAGTTCTACTTTCCTCCCACTCACTTCTTTCGAGAGAAACTCCTTCTCTAGAAAGGACCCATTCTTAGCAATGAATAACTTGCCTTCGGATCTGTGATAGAAGGTGTACCCAACATTTTCTTTTGGGTATCCTATGAAGATTTACTTCTCCGATTTGGGTTCAAGCTTATCATGTTGAAACTTTTTCACATAAGCATTGCAGTCCCAAACTTTAAGAAACGACAGTTTAGGTTTCTCGCCAAACCACAATTCATAGGGTGTCGTCTCAATGGATTTAGATGGTGCCCTATTTAACGTGAATGTAGCTGTCTCTAATGCATAACCCCAAAACGATAGTGGTAGATCGGTAAGAGACATCATAGATCGCACTATATCTAATAAAGTACGGTTATGACGTTCGGACACATCATTACACTGTGGTGTTCCAGGTGGCGTGAGTAGTGAAACTATTTCACATTGTTTTAACTGAAGGCCAAACTCGTAACTCAAATATTTTACTTCTGCGATCGTATCGTAGAAACTTTTATTTTTGTTACGATGATTCTCCACATCACTCTGAAATTCTTTAAACTTTTCAAATATTTCAGACTTTTGTTTCATCAAGTAGATATACTCATATCTGCTTAAATCATCTGTGAAGATCAGAAAATAATGATACCTGCCACGAGCCTCAATATTCATGGGACCACATACATCAGTATGTATGATTTCCAACAAATCTGTTGCTCGCTCCATTGTTTCGGAGAACGGAGTCTTAGTCATCTTGCCCATGAGGCATGGTTCGCAAGCATCAACTGATTCATAATCAAGTGATTCCAAAAACCCATCAGCATGGATTTTCTTCATGCGCTTTACACCAATATGACCTAAACGGTAGTGCGATAAATAAGTTGCACTATCATTATTAACTTTGCATTTTTTGACTTCAATATTATGAATATGTGTATCACCACGATCGAGATCCAACAAACCATTTTCATTGGGTGTATGACCATAGAAGGTTTTATTCATGTAAACAGAACAACAATTATTCTCTAACTTACATGAATAACCGTATTGCAATAAACATGATCCAATCATATTTATACTCAACACAAACACCAAATAACACTTATTTAGGTTCAACACTAATCCCGAAAGTATAGGGAGTGTGCGATGATGATCATATCAATCTTGGAACCACTTCCGACACACATGGTCACTTCACCCTTAACTATTCTCTATTCATTCTGCAACTCCCGTTTTGAGTTGCTACTCTTAGCAACTGAACTAGTATCAAATACCGAGGGGTTGCTATAAACACTAGTAAAGTACACATCAATTACATGTATATCAAATATACCTATGTTCACTTTGCCATCCTTCTTATCCGCCAATTACTTGGGGTAGTTCCGCTTTCAGTGACCAGTCCCTTTGCAGTAGAAGCACTCAGTTTCAGGCTTAGGTCCAGACTTGGGTTTTTCACTTGAGCAGCAACTTGCTTGCCGTTCTTCTTGAAGTTCCCCTTTCTTCCCTTTGTCCCTTTACTTGAAACTAGTGATTTTGTTTACCATCAACACTTGATGCTTTTCTTGATTTCTACCTTCGTTGATTTCAGCATCACGAAGAGCTTGGAATCGTTTCCGTTATCCCTTACATATTATAGTTCATCACGAAGTTCTACTAACTTGGTGGTGGTGACTAGAGAATTCTGTCAATCACTATCTTATCTGGAAGATTAACTCCCACTTGATTCAGGCGATTGTAGTACCCAGACAATCTGAGCACATGCTCACTGCTTGAGCGATTCTCCTCCATCTTTTAGCTATAGAACTTGTTGGAGACTTCATATCTCTCAGCTCGGGTATTTGCTTGAAATATTAACTTCAACTCCTGGAACATCTCATATGGTCCATGACGTTCAAAACGTCTTTGAAGTCCCGATTCTTAAGCCGTTAAGCATGATGCACTAAACTATCAAGTAGTCATCATATTGAGCTAGCCAAACGTTCATAACGTCTGCATTTGCTCCTGCATTAGGTCTGTCACCTAGCGGTGCATCAAGGACATAATTCTTCTGTGCATCAATGAGGATAAACCTCAGATAACGGATCCAATCCGCATCTTTGCTACTAACATCTTTCAACTTAGTTTTCTCTAGGAACATGTATAAAACATAGGGAAGCAACAACGCGAGCTATTGATCTGCAACATAGATATGCTAATACTATCAGGACTAAGTTCATGATAAATTAAAGTTCAATTAATCATGTTACTTAAGAACTCCCACTTAGATAGATATCCCTCTAATCCTCTAAGTGATCACGTGATCCAAATCAACTAAACCATGTCCGATCATCACGTGAGATGGAGTAGTTTCAATGGTGAACATCACTATGTTGATCATATCTACTATATGATTCACGCTCGACCTTTCGGTCTCCGTGTTCCGAGGCCATATCTGTTATATGCTAGGCTCATCAAGTTTAACTTGAGTATTCCGCGTGTGCAACTGTTCTGCACCCATTGTATTTGAACGTAGAGCCTATCACACCCGATCATCACGTGGTGTCTCAGCACGAAGAACTTTCGCAACGGTGCATACTCAGGGAGAATACTTATACTTTGATAATTTTAGTGAGAGATCATCTTATAATGCTATCATCAATCAAAGTAAGATAAGATGCATAAAAGATAAACATCACATGCAATCAATATAAGTGATATGATATGGCCATCATCATCTTGTGCTTGTGATCTCCATCTTCGAAGCATCGTCATGATCTCCATCGTCACCGGCATGACACCATGATCTTCATCATCTTGATCTATATCAATGTGTCGTCACATGGTTGTCTCGCCAACATTTGCTCTTACAACTATTGCTATCGCATAGCAATAAAGTAAAGCAATTATTTGGTGATTGCATCTTATGCAATAGAGAGATAACCATAAAGCTTTTGCCTGTTGCCGATAACTTCAACAAAACATGATCATCTCATACAACAACTTATATCTCATCACGTCTTGACCATATAACATGCCCTGCAAAAACAAGTTAGACGTCCTCCACTTTGTTGTTGCAAGTTTTACGTAGCTGCTACGGGCTGAGCAAGAATCGTTCTTACCTACGCATCAAAACCACAACGATAGTTTGTCAAGTTGGTGCTGTTTTAACCTTCGCAAGGACCAGGCGTAACCACACTTGGTTCAACTAAAGTTGGAGAAACTGACACCCGCCAGCCACCTGTGTGCAAAGCACGTCGGTAGAACCAGTCTCGCGTAAGCGTACGCGTAATGTCGGTCCGGGCCGCTTCATCCAACAATACCGGCGAACCAAAGTATGACATGCTGGTAAGCAGTATGACTTATATCGCCCACAACTCACTTGTGTTCTACTCGTGCACAACATCAACGCATAAAACCTAGCCTCGGATGCCACTGTTGGGGAACGTAGTAATTTCAAAAAAAATTCTATGCACACGCAAGATCATGATGATGCATAGCAACGAGAGGGGAGAGTGTTGTCTACGTACCCTCGTAGACCGAAAGCGAAAGCGTTAGCACAACGCGGTTGATGTAGTCGTACGTCTTCACGACCCGACCGATCAAGCACCGAAACTACGGCACCTCCGAGTTCTAGCACACGTTCAGCTCGAAGACGATCCCCGGACTCCGATCCAGCAAAGTGTCGGAAAAGAGTTCCGTCAGCACGACGGCGTGATGACGATCTTGATGTTCTACCGTCGCAGGGCTTCGCCTAAGCACTGCTACAATGTTATCGAGGATTATGGTGGAGGAGGGCACCGCACACGGCTAATAGATCTCAAGGATCAATTGTTGTGTCTTTGGGGTGCCCCCCTGCACCCATATATAAAGGAGCAAAGGGAGGAGGAGGCCGGCCCTAGGAGGGGGCGCGCCAAGTGTGGAGTCCTACTAGGACTCCCTAGTCTCTACTCCTAATGTCTCAGTTGGTAGGTCGCGTTTCGGATTTTATTTTCGTCCCACCACACCCGGTTTTTTTTGGTACTTCTTTGGTACTTTCTCCCACCTTCCCCTCAGCCACGAAAAACCAAAGAAAACCCCGCGATCGAGTCCCGCACACGCCCAAACTCTCGTCGTTATCTCTACTGTTAATGTCTCAGTTGGTAGTCTGCGTTCCGGATTTATTTTCGTCCCACCATTTTCGTCCGGTTTTTTTCGTTGTTTTTTCTTCGTTGGTTTTTTCGTCCGGTGCTCTCTGTTGGTTTTCCCCATCCGCATCGCTCGATCCAACTCCTCCCTCTCCCTCGGTCTCGCCTCTGCTATCGCTCGCTCGGTCCTCTCTAGGGTTCGCCGCCCGCCGCCGTCCCCCGCCGCCCTGCTCCGCTGTTGCCCCTCCCTCTCCATCTCCTTCCCTCGCGGGCGTCACCATGTTCCCCCGTCCAACAAGATCATCCACGCCGCAGACTGCGTCTCCCGCTGGTTCCCGCTCCCGCCCTTCTCCGACGACGTTGAATCTGTCCGCCTCGAGCCCTTCCCCTGCTACACCGTCGAGCGCATGACCGGCGCCAAGCCCCTCGTCCTTGCCCTCTCCTCCCCATCCTCCGGCTCCACGGAGGCCGCGGACGCGGCCGCAGTCATCGCCGAGAGGTTCTTGCCGGACCTTTTATACGCGGCGGAGAAGGCGAGGGAGAGGACGCACGATGTGCCCAGGGAAGACGAGGAGGCAAAACTGAGTCTCATGGCAAGGGTGGGCAAGGTCCTGTTCCAACTGTGAGTCTTCTTCTATGCGTCCCACCATTTCCAGTTCTTGGATCTCTGCTTCGTGTCACAACTCACATAGCATTGTGATTAACGCGCGCCACCACCCCGCTTTTGTGTTGGTGGATCGCACGTCTCCTTGGACGCGGTCCGCGACCTCGCAGAGGCAGGGACAGAAGGATCCAAGAGCCCAGTCCGTAAAAGAGCACTACCATGTCAAGTTCGTTTGGTCGACAAGCAGGGAATGGTTTCCAGCATGTCTTGGAAATGCACTGTGCAAGAAGATGGGAAGCTTGCAATCGACAAGGTGTGCTAAACATGCTATCCTTTCCTGCACATTTGATCAGAACTCAGGGTCACAGTTACTTTTAGCACTACCACGCATTGATTATATGGGTATCCATGCTAAATAGTACTACTAAATAGTATGAAATATCAGGATTGTGCATGATTTTATTCTTTTACGACTGACAATGGAGAATCCCGAGACTGTAGAAGGCATGTCATTTGATTCATGCCAAGAAGCGTACAAACAATTCAGCACGTGTTTGTTTTCACGGCGAAATGCAGGTTGAACTGACCAAACAAGTTTGTGCATGTTGCCTGTTTCAGGAAGCCATTGCTGTTGGACAATCTTTCGCCACGGTTAGATGGTACGAGCTCGATGCCGAACACCGGCCATACAAGTCACACGCATCGATATGTCCTTCCTCTGCTTCATCAATGCGACTTTCATCAAAGAAAGGTGCCAACATGATCAAAGAAAGCAAACCTCGCATTGTCTAAAGTTCGATGTAAGTGCTCACATAGGTGTTGTTAATTCAGGATCATGGAATGGGTAAGGGCTGAAGTGGATACATCCAATGAGAAGGTCAGGGAAAGGGTGCAATCAGTTGTCTTTGACATGTCAAGTAAGATCCTACAGGGAAGTTTGATAATTGCTAAACTTATATAAAAATTCCAAAGACATCTCCGATTCAGTTATGATTCTGGTCTGCAGACGTGGTGAACATTGACACTTCAGGACTCGTGGGATTGGAATAAATTCACAAGGATCTAGCATCCCTGGGCATACAGGTGAAGTGATTTACTAATGGGCATCATATTGTACTTTCGTCAAAAAAATTCTTCAAGTCAATGGAAAGAGTAGACCACTAGACCTACATATAATTTAGACTAGTTTCAGTTACTGCTTGCATATACTATATGAATGCCCTTTGTTCAGTTAGGATCAACTTTGTTAGTTCACGTGCTCTGTTGGAAACCAGCCCTAATGTGTATGCTACAACAATACAACCAGTGCAAAAAGCACATCTCATATGTCAGGAACCACACACATGGTAGGGGATATTTTATGAAGGGTGGGAGCATGAGCACCTTGTGTGTGGGAGCACCCGATATTCTCCCATATTCTTAGATACGGAAGCTACAGCCTACATAAGCAAGCTATGTATTAATTATTCAATCAGAAAAATATCTTATGCATATTATGGGTCTTTCTCATGAAATCTTGTACATCCAACAGTTTCACAGGAACAAGTCAGTGGCAGTAAAAGTTGAAGCTCCTTAGTCAGGTTCGTTCAGGTGAGTACCTTTCCTGATACAAGAATTAGCACTGAGAATGTTTTTAGAGGTAAATTAGCACTGAGATTTCTGTATATTTACAAGCAATGGGGCATACATTAGTTGGTTTTTTGACATTAATCGAGTTTAACGTATACTTATAGATTTCTCGTACACGTACACATATGTAGTCACCTGAACGAACATCCTGCGCGTGTTGTACATGACCGGTACGGCGGCCCTGATGGGGAGCGAGAACCGCCATTGGAACGCGGCGGTGAGCCCCTCGGTGAAGACCTGCGCGGAGAGCAGGAACGTGTGCGGGGCCACGGCGGCGATCCCCGTGGTGTCCCCGGACCGGAGGCCGTCGAGGATGTAGAGCGCCGGGAACGCGGCGCCGACGAGGAACCCGCCCACGATGTGCGCGGCGAGGAGGAGGCGCTCGGGGCCGAGGAAGATGGGCGCAGACGGGTTGGGCTTCCCGGGGCGCTGCGGGAAAGTGATTGTGGCCAGGAGGAGTAGGTAGGGGAGGAGCAGGCCGATCGATCGAACCGTAAGAAAAGAAATCTAAATTCTGTTATATTTCTGCGGTTATTTTCAATTCCGATGGTGGAAACGATTTAAGGATAAGTTGGAGGAATGCCTCGAAGATGTTTTATAAGCTTTAAAAATAGTGGGTGGTTTGAGGTAGTGCATCATTTGCCTTTTATCTGAACACTTGCAGCCAAATTTTTTATCGCACTGTGAGTTGTTTTGTGCACATGCTGCGTTCTGTGTTGATATGGATGAGAAAATTCCGTGCCTACAACATTATTTGTGTCTGACCCTGTCCGAGGATCCTGTGGCATGCTCTGATTTGTTTCAGAGTGTGGATGTTCCGATGCTGTGCATCGTGTGCTTCCGAGGCAGCAGAAGGTTGTACACATATCAACGTCTATGGGTGAAGATATCCTACCATATCTAGAACCTGTTTGATATGCAGATTAGTCAAGCTTTTGCAGAGCAGTCCTCATAAGCTGCAAGATACATGCATGGTTCGTATGGTTCATTACTCATAACTAATCTATATGTCAAAACTTGGACAACTATCTAGCCCTTGAATTATCTTATAAATTGACAATGATGATGTTTTGATGCAGTCTGCAATTTTGGTTTTGTAGCAGCTGCTGTAGAACAGGATTTTATCACATATCCAGAGAAGGTTCTTGAAATGAGGAAAGGCTTTATTGTGCTCGGCAAGGATGATGATTTTTGTGCATGAGCTAGGACTAGCAACAGCAGTTGGCGGAACCAGGATGGAAGTCATATTGCCTCCTTTTATTGAAGCTGCTATTTCAGTGAGTCCTAATTCCACTACTTCAGAGTTCAGACAACCAAAAGGCTTTAGCGCAATTATTTATGCTCTTCATATTTGCAGGGTTTTGGATTGGATTATAGCGAGCTAATGTAGTACTAAGGGATATAGACAACAAGGTCCACCTAGACCATAAATCACATTGTTTGTGACATCAGCACATCCAACTGTAACTGTAGTCCCTCATTTGTATGACGTTACAGCCAACATTTAACACCCACTGTTCGTAATATATACATGATATCCACTGACCAAATTCAGATATATGGAATCCCAAAATCAGTTCTGCAACTTGAGCAAGGTATGTGGCCATCTAACTTAATCCTTGCATACAGTAGAAGATCTATCCTACAAACATATATCATCTACTTTTCTGAATTTCACTGGCATCCCTTAGCTGTGTTTGTGGGTCGAAAACATGTGTATACTACACTTTGCGCAGGCAGCATCCCTAGAGAATATATTGCTCAGCGTTATGTACCTAATAAACATCTGATAAATAGAGGCATTTTCTTTCATCTCGATCCGAACACTCCTATTTGGTGTTGGTGCTCTTTCTAAGTAACTGTATGTTCAAGAATTGATCCAAATTTAAAGGATAAGAAAGTTTACATTTTCTTATAGGGCTCGGACCGAATAAAGTCTGATCAGGCTTGCTGCTGTGTTGTTTGTAATATAAAAACAACCATAATTGTGGAGGAGTGAGTCATTCTCTCATGGGGATTTGTTTGCTTAATAGTAGAATTCCAATTGCTTTTGGATTTATATGATGCAGCTTACATACTCCCATCACCCAGTAACATATCAATATCAGTTACTGCATCGTACCGGGTTTATATTATGCATCCCTACTGAAAGTTCCATTGTTAAATAGAAACGAAGATTACAATTATAGATGATAGATATATGTAATTGTGCGATGCATTCTCACTGCTTCCAGTAGATACTATCATTTCAGAGTTCACCTAAAATTTGCAATGTTCAAATTTTTGGGATCAAAATACAACTTTTTTTAAATTTAAGCCAATATAAAGTGTGTGCAGGTTGACTTTTAAAACATTTTTGCTTACAAGAAGCTTATCAGTTGTAATGTTTGGCACCTACATAACCTGATGGTCCTGTAGTGACTTGGGATTGGCGATTAAAGAAACATGGGTATCAAGCATATTAATGTGGGAAGTAGATATACAATATGTTATAAAGGAGAAGACAAGTAAATATTGAGTGTGAAAGATCAGTACGATTTTTTACTATCATATGAATTATTGAATTTAATCTGGTATTCAACCCCTCAACATTATATTTAATACATGCTACTACACCAATACTTATCTCTACTATAAAAGGAGAATTTGACAAGTAATCAAGCAAGTCAGCACTATCATCGATGGACGTTGTCGTGCGGAGATGGAAGTTGACAAGTAATATTCTCCATGAAGTTGATCTGATGCGAAGCTTGTGCCAGATAAAAGGTTAATTGAGTTCTCATCTCCAATATGTTTGCATTCTAACTATCCTTGTTGATTCAGTGGTTCCATGATGCTACATTTCACTTGTTTTTCACCTCTTGATGCTACTATGGACAGAAGGCGTTTGCTAATTTGCACATTTTTTTCTTCTGATAAATTGTGCCAATATCACCTGTAATATAAAAGTTGATTGATACTTTTCATTTTATATTGATGTGCTCTCCAGCGAGAACAATTTTTTGACTGGATGTGTTTAATTAGATATGCTCTTTTATTTGTGCGAAGTTGTTCAGACTTTTCTTTGATTCATTATTTTAGCTGTATGAAAAAGGAGTATGAGTACTGTTTGGTTCCACACAGGACCAATGAAGGAAGAGAAGCAAATCACAACCCTTTAGTTCATGGTCTAGGAGCAGGGAGGTACACATCCATCTTTGTGATATTCTGATATGAATAAGCATAGTACTACATACAGAATCTCTCAATTGTGTAGATAGGTCATCAAGTAATGGTTAGTAATTCATACTTCTGCTTCACCTTTCAGTTAATTATCCGCTTTCAAGTATTTGTTGCCAAAGTGAGCATCTAATTGCAGGAATTCTGTGAGGTAACCATCTCAATCTTTTTGTCACAAGGCTCTTGCGCGGTGGAGATTTTTGCTTGGTCATAAATGAATTAGTTCCATTCTTTGACAGTAAGAGAATGGAGCCAGATGGAGGAACATCAACATTGATGCCAAAAGTTCCATTCTCTTGTTGTAGTAGTGTCTTAATTGGAAGAATATTTTGATGATGTTGATTGTTTTCTGTTCTCAACTTTTCATCATTTTAGATCACTTTTTGGATAGTTCAATACTATATTTTCGGGATTAACCGTAACATTATGTGAACATATGTTTATTGTTCTAAAATCAATGTTCATCAGCAATCAGCCTTCTAACTAAATAATATTTTCGCAAGGGCTTCTCTACACCGGTACGGTCTCTCGCTGGTACACGATTTGAGGCATAGGAGGGAGGGGCATGTTGCGATGTCGTCTTCGGTCATGGCTATAGCTTATGAGAAGAATGGGGTTTATGCTTGGCAGACTGCCCCATGGTTAGCAAGTCATTATTGCCGCCTCCGCTTCCCAAGTTGCCTCGGCTTGCTGTTGGTGTGTGCTGCTTCTGTAGCCCCTGCCGGCCGCCTCTTAGGTTCGGTTTTTCTGCCACTACTGAAGTTTCCATTGCCTCGGCAAGGCGTCGTCGTCTTACTTGCAAGGCACACATTGCACCACGGGCAACATCTTGCTATGCATGGCCACTCATGTCAAAGCTGGGTTCCAGTTTGACGACCTCTCTACCAAGTCTCCATGTTCTTCTTTCCTGTACTTTCTCCATCTGCTGTTATACTCTCTTGCAAGTACGGCTTAACCAGTTTGATGTCATGTTGCTTTAGCAGTTGTGACGTATGTGCAGGATAGATAATGTTTCATTGGTAGCGCACACAGTGCATCTAGAGAAAACAATTGCTTTCATCGGCAAACATGGATATATTCTTAAGTGGACATTCAGCTAGAATACATATGCATTTTCCATATACTTCAGAGTTTTATCTCTCAAGGGAGCTGCATTTTTTAAGAAAGGGAATAACACATATTGGTTGTTTTCATTGTATTAGCCACATCTATTGTGCGTCTCAATCATTTAAATTTTGGGCATTGTACTATCATGAATCAGTTTTGCAATAAATTTGTAGAAGTTTTTGCCCCCAAGAATATAATGAGAAATATTTGCTGCAACTAAACTTTGTTGAGCATGTCTATTAACACTTTCCTCTTCTCCTATTAGATGTAATGATCTAGACCAAAGCAACCCTCATGTATATTGATACTATACTAGAAGGCCACTGAAGAATTTTACGGAACAAGAGAAGATGGCGTGCACCATATCTTTAAGATGACTTCCCTCACCATGTGGCATGCACTTTTCGGTTTTACTTTAGCGCAATTGCCATGTATGCAAGGGATACAATTAGGCTGAATATTGCAATTGTAGTTTTTTTCTGAACTTTTTCAACATCCCAGCATTAGTAAAATACTCCCCTATTCCATAATGTAAGACGTTTTTGCAAGCTATATGTTTGTTATACATTATATTGCTAGAAATCAATAATTTACTCTTTTTTACTAATATTGTGTTTTAATAGTCCATTTCCTGTGTTTCAAAGGTCTGCAATAGTTAATAAAGCAAGAGCAACACCTTATTTGTCGCAACAAGAAATTCTATATATTTTGGACAATTCTTAAATTCGTCCATATGAGAAACTTGTTAAACAATGTCGCCTGATGTGCCCTATAAGAATATGTTAGGCGCAATTGATGTTATACCAGTAGAGCAGTTTCCCCCATTGCAACGTATTGGCACTTAACTATATGTTTATATGTTTAGTTTTGCATATTAGATATCAGAACTCATGGCTCGATAATGCTTTGGAAATGCCGATTGACAAAGTCATTGATGTAACTATGATGGACTGGACTAAAAACCCATCGAGTTTTACGCAATCAGAAGAGATGCATATAGATATTTTTTTTGTATATATGTTGCACATCGACAAGGCTCCTGGGGCAATGTCGTTGGAAGGGGCCAAAAATTCACCGACTTTGATACAACAAATATTGGTATATGTATATGCAATCAATGCTCATGAGAAAGATACTAGAGCATTGAAGCCTTCTTGAGAAGGCAACACACTCGAGATCGAGAGAGAGTGAGGGAGGGAGAGGGGGGAGAGATCGAGGGGGTGATGGAGGGAGAGGGAGGGAGAGGGAGGGAGGAAGGAGAGACAGATCTTGCAGGTATACATTGGTAGGACAACCATGTTATCAAATATAAATTGGATTTGGTGGTAACTCACCAATGTGTTTGTAGTCAATCTATCAGATGTGTTGTAGAAACGTTCTTCGATAAATATGGTTTTAACTCTTGATATTTTATTATGATTGTAAATTTATCCTTCTGCATGTCATTCCAAGGAACATTTTTAGTTGCGAGAAGTAAGAAATGTAAAATAAGAGAACATTTTAACGGTAAAAAAGAAGTCGTCAAAGTAGCCCGTAGCAACGCATGGGCATTCTGTTAGTTATTACTACCAGTACAGAAGCAACCATGGCTAAACCATTACAAGATATGAAATAAACACGTATGACTAAGACACTAAGTTGACTTGTTCTTCAGTTCCCAACATTTGGTCTAGGCGGAGCGAGGCCGTTCGGAGTGAAGACGGGCAGCATAGGCAATGGAGATCCGATGCAAATTAAGAATGAAACGTTGATCGGTATATGACAATATGCTTTTCTTTCTGCTCTACATTTTCAAAAACTCTGAACGAAGCTGGTGCACATTGGTTCTGGGTTGATATATTTCCTTATGTAGCCTTTGTTCAAGTAAATCAGACA